TGCGTGTTATAGAGCGAAAAATACGGTAAACGAAGCACATCATGGCTTAGCATTGTGTTTGAACCAGGCCGTAGTAAATCTAGGTAATAATTGTTGCATAACCCCAAGCAATTGCAGAAGTAAAAAAATGTTATTTGTTTTGACTATACCTCCTTGATGAATGGTCTTAGAAAAGTAATATATCATTACGAACATTTTCTAGATACAATGCCAGGTTGTTCTAGGCTTCCAATTCTTTGGTTTATATAAAATAGGAAGCATGAAAATTGAATTGGTTCATTTGGATTTTGTTAGAATTACAGATGGCCCAGTTTTACATGGACATTTCAAATGCCACAATTGTTGTTTCTAAAAAGCATTTGAAACCAAAATGCTTACAAATTCTCATGATGGTAGGAAGCATATTTTACAATTGCTCTGCTGGGAATGTGGCTTGCTTGATAATATGCAAATACAATATGTTTTATCTGAACAAAACACAGCATGCACTTAAAATTCACATTTTGGAACACAAAAGTAAAATGAGAAGTTTAGTTTCAGAAGCCCATGGACTTTAATATGTTGTGAAGTATAAACTAAAGTTTGGATGGATTTTGAGCACTGGAACCAGAGCTTTTTTTCAGCTGGAACTCTGACGAAACTCAATTCCGGCCCCGCTCAGGTGGGCGCCATTACCATTATAAGAAACAAGGGAGCCATTCATGATGAGTGTGCAGTTAGTGGACTAGGGGGGACTAGGTTAGTCTCCTAAATGTTCCCCTGGAACCTCCTTCCCAAAGCTGGTTTAGGGAGGGAGGCAGGCATGATGCTCTGACAGAGTCCAAAAGCCCTCCTGCCACCTTCTCAAAGTCCACCTGGCTCCAGAATGCTGTTAGAGCCCTGGTACCTGCTTCCCAAAGGCCAGGAAGCTTCTGGCTGGCTTAGGGAGGGACGTGTGATGCTCATATGCATGATGGCAGGATGTTACGCACGTAACATCAGCTCCTCCAATTGCCCTCTCAAGCTGGCACCTCTGGCCTTAACTGTTCCCCTACGGAAAATTTCTCCGCACACCACTGGTTCCGGCACCTCTTTTTCTAGAAAAGTAGCGCTGATTGGAACCAATATGAGCACACTCATTTAAGAGTCTAGACATGGATAACTCGTTACTGCCATGCGAAGTCTTAGAGAACTTTTACATTAAACACCGTGCAACCTCCAAGTTTCAAGAATAGGCTTGGTTGTAATGCTTTCTTGTAAGGAGCTATTATGGGTAAAAGTTTTTTACTGTATGTTTGGGTCACCTGCGGCCCCCAAGATGCTGTGGGACTACAACTCCGGCCAATCTTGCTGGCAGTGGATGATGGGAATTAGAGTCCAACAGCATACTGGGGGGTGGGGCAGAGAGCACAGATTCCTCATTCAACCACTCTTCATTCATTTATGCATTTTTCGATGCATTCTTGGGTTGGAGAATTGTACTGCAAGATTTGGAAACAGTGTGAATTTCAGAGGAGAGCTGCATTTTTCAGTTCGCAAGGTGGGATGTGCAAATTTGGCGGGTTTCCATTAAAATGTGAGCTGGATGAATTCATCCTTCACCCCTAGCTGGGAAAACTCTTCCCTCCTTCCCTTATCTGACAGCTTAAAGAGGTAACATGGGAGCTGCTACTGTGTAGACTGATACAATGCATTCTAATAGATACTTGAATTCCAACTATTATAAGACCCAGGCAAGTAATTAATGAAAGGTTACCATGAATCTGAATAAAAAGAATATGCAGACCTTCCTGTCTGGATATGATTTCTCAGGAACTTGGTGCAAAAAACATTGCTCCAGGAGGAGGCAAATCTCATAATGACCTCAATATGTAGGTTTAATTATACACAAGGAAATATAGTTTAAATGTCCGCAATGCATAATAGTGACTTATTCATCTCTTGCAGGTAATCCTGGGTAGGCAGTTCAGTGAATGGAATGAGATTAGTGCCACATCGCCCTGTTTTTATGCTCCCACGCTGCACACTGTGTTCATCTGTTAGCTTGAATGCTAAGAAGTATGTTTAAAGCCAACCAGCATTTTTGTTAGCTTCCGACTGTTGTGACATCTGTGCATATAAAGCCAGCATTTCAGTCTTCTCTTAGCAATTTTGTGTTAATCGTTGCTTCACTGTATTGCAGGCAAATTAAGTCCCTTTAAAGGATAGGTATTATTATAATTGTGTGGGGTGTTTTTTTGAAAAAAAGTGAAAAGCTTTGAATCAGCAGTCATGTGGATTTGTAAAGATTTGGAGGAATGCATGTATTTGTAACAATGTCAGTTACAAATTAATCCATTTCCCCCTGCGACTGGATCTCATTTGGAAATGTAGCATAAAATAGGGCAGCCTTCTCATGGACTACAATTCCCATCAGCCAAAACCAGAGTCAGAGATGATGGGAGCTGTTGTCTAAAACACCTGGAGGGCAGCAAGTTGAAGAAGGCTGATTACTGCATTCCGGAGCCCCGTTCACATCCTGAAGTGAACGCAACCCTGTGTCTGCGCATCTGCGTCTGCACGTGCTGTGATTCGCCGCTTCTGCGCATGTGCGTGACGTCATTTTGAGCATCTGTGCATGCGCGAGTGGCGAAACCCGGAAGTAACATGCTCTGTTACTTCCGGGTCGCCGCAGAGCACAACCTGAAAATGCTTAACCTGAAGCTACTTCAACCCGAGATATGACTGTAGTTGTGGCGGCACTGTGTGATTTTATTCATGGAAGTCAATATGTCCAGCTTATTATGATTCTTATCAATTGCACTTCTATTTAGAATGTTGAGGAATTCAAGCAAGACACTGATTTTTTGCACATTTAATTCAATTCAATGTAATAATGGTAGCAAAATCCTGCAAAAACCACCGGGAGGTTCTGCAACCGCCCATAGCTAAAAACCTCAGTGGGAAATAGAAGTGTGTAGTCATCTCTGAAGTGCAAAGAGATTGATCTGCTCTGCTCCTTATCATTTCTAGGTGGAAGAATAGAGTTGGCAGGGACTATGAGGGTCATCTAGTCCAACCCCATGCAATGCAGGAATCTTTTGCCTAACATGGGGATTGAACCCATAACCCTGAGATTAAGAGCCTCATGCTCTACCAGCTGAGCCATGTTAGAGCAATAGTAGAGAGCTTACTGCAGGAGACGATATCAAATTAACAAAGCCTTAACATTTTCCTCTCCCTTGGGAAGTAGCATACAAGGACTCTGCGACATGATTATTCTGAGCCAGATTCCTTCAGTCTCTTGCTACTCCTGAATGTGGACTCTTATGATCTGGGCGACCAGGAAGAAGTAGATGTATGCAAGAGGATACACAGAATAACACAGTCTTTTGCAGTGGGCAGTACCATTTCGTATCACCCAGCTGAGAAAATAAGGAGGTTAGCTGCAGTAATTGTTGTAGATACACAGTCAGGGGTCTTGCTTGACTCACTTGCTAGAAAGGCCTAGTTCGGTATTCCACAGCAGGAATACAATACCTGGCACTGGATTTTTAAGGTAGCAATATGCTTTATAGCAGGAGTGGATTCACGATTGGCAGGTAAAGGCTGCTAAAAATGGCAGGAAAAAGGAATCAGGAACTGAAAGGATTAATTTAGGTCCATTGAGGTTGAAGTCACTAGCTATTTTTAGCCTAGAGTAGAGAATGGGTGTATGGGGTGTTATAGGAGGGGTAGCACGTCTGGTTTAAATCACATTGTGCTCTACCTTTGGTCCTCTCTCACCTGTGGCCCCTAGAAGCTGTCAGCATGCGACAGCAGCCACATCCTGGGAGACAGCTTTGACTGGCCAGCTAAACCAGTTTGAGGGTAGCTGATGGGTCTCGAACCCTCGGTGAGTTAGGGGCTTCCCCTGCATGCAAAGACAGGCTCTAGCAGATCAAGCTAATGAGACCAGTAGTGGGTCCAATGGTTTCTGTATGTACTGTAGAAGGAAGTGAGAGGCAGATGAGGCTCATCAACCTGGGAAGGGAGACCATCTAGGAGAAGGAAAACTCTAGTCCTAAACCTCCACTCATTCATGAGAAAGGCTTTGGGGGTAAACTTCAAGGAAAAATCCATACCGCTGCCTATGTGAGACATCTTTGGGAGAAATAAAGTCTACCTAAATCTGGAGTGGAGCCCCTAAGACAATTGGATGATACCTTGTATGCCTCCTTCCAGCAAGTCCTGCAGCTAAGCTGGTGTCAAGCATACTGCTCTGCTTTCCTTTGGACCACATCAGTGAGGCTGAGAGGCAGGTTTTGTTGTCTGGGCAGCCCAGGACCTCCATACACATAGCCCAGGCTTGCACCCCAGAGAGGTGCTGCTCATGTAGCAAAAACAATGCAGGAGGCAGCAGTTACAAGTTAGCTCTCTCTGCAGCCACAGCAGGCGCTGTGATTCTCCCTGGAGGCACTCTCCATTGTCTCTTGAGGTAGGGAGATGCCAACAAAAAACACACACAAAAAGAGCAGAGAAGATCATGGGGATATCATGATGACATTATTCAAAAACCTGAAAACTGTTACATGGAACAAGACAAAGGCTTGTCTACTATCCCAGAGGGCAGGACCAAGGTAAGTTTCAGTTGAACATTAGGAGAAACATCTAAATTGTAAGAACCAGTGGTAGTTGGTGCCCATTGGGACTGGTAGACCAGCAGACAGGGAGCTCAACAGTAGCTGGTACCAGAGCCAATAAAAGGCTAGTTTAGTTTCCATCCTCTTCCCTGCTCAGTTTTACGAGGGCAACACTGAGACAGAAGAAGAGGAAGCTGATGGCCAGGGCCATTCCCTTGACTGGTTTTAAGCAAGAATGCAGGCATATAGGGGATGACTGAGGGCAAACTGATGTTGGTGGAACAGAACTCTGTTTGCTCTTATGGACCATTTGCCACTGGTAAAAGCACATCAATCAAAGACCAAGAATGTACAAGGGCGATGGCCTCTTTCTCACACTGAAGGTCAAGCAAAGGCTGAACAGCCATCTGTTGAATATCTGCTGGGGTAGCTCAGTTGGTAGAGCATGAGACCCTTAATCACAGGATTGTGAGTTCAAGCTCCATGTGCTGGGCAAAAGATTCTTGCATTGCAGGGGGTTGGACTAGATGACCCTCATGGTCTCTTCCGATTCTATTATTCCTCTAGCTCTCGTATTCCTTTCTCAAGCAGGGGGGTTGGACCACCTGAACCTTTCCGACTCTATGACTCTAAGATTTAAGAATGATAACAACAACAAAGAGGGCTGCAAAGAATGTGCAGAGACGAACAGGGAATGGGCATGCGGATTAGGAAGCAGAAAACAGCTATTCCCTCTTCTGGGAGAAACTTTCTTTGAAAAATATGCATCCAAAAATGGCAGAAAGACAATTCTGTACTCCCTGTGGACTCTCCTAATGCTACAGTGAGGGAAGACTATTGGAAGTCATAGCTGCCTTTTCTTAGCTCTGTGCCAAAACAGTGAAGAAATTCTCATGTGTTGGATGCAGGGTTTTGTTGTTGCACTTAGCTTATTTTCATCTGGCCAGGGAGTGTTTGTGAGGAACCGTTCTTCAGTTTTACAAATCACCTCTCCAGGCTTCCTGGGTGCTTGCCTTTCCTGAAATCTCCATGGCATCCTCAGCCGGGCTTTCGTGTAAGCACAGGAAGGATGGGAAATTACGTACTGCACACCTGACAGCTGTTCATTGCCGTTGTTTCAAGTGAAGTTCTTCTTTACTTCTAATGAAACCAGTGTTTATTTTTTTTTTTAAAAAAAAAAGTAGAAAAAAGGACTTCCACTGAACATGAAATCAGTGAGTGAAATTGGCATTCAGTAACGAGTGCCCCTGGTTTCATGTACTTTGGTTAAAGCTCTATGTGAGACTCTGACTGCATGTACACCATATATTTAAAGCACATAGAATCTTGGGAAGCATAGTTTGTTAATGATGCTCTGTGATGGGCAAACTACAGTACTCAAGATTCTAAACCACTGAATGTGACGTTAACATATGAGAGTGCTGGAGGTGAAATAGTTAAACAGGTTACCCAATCAGAACCCAGGGGGGTGGAGTCAGAGGGACTATAAAACCAGCTCTGGGAGGGGCGAAAGGGGAGTTCGTTGGGAGTTGGGTAGTTGGTTGGAGTGGGAGTGAATTGGGATAGAGTCTGTGGGTAGGTTGAGTTAGTGTAGTGAAATAAGCTGAGTCAGGACCAGTTAGGAGCCAGGAAGACAAGTGAATATCTGAGAGGTGGTTTAGTGAGTGAGAGCAGGTAGTGGAAGTTATAGGTCTGGATAGGCACCCCATGATTGTAATTGACTGATACCGTTTATGAAACCACACGCTTGTTAAACTGCAATAAATCCCCGTGATGGGGTGAGCTCCCATTGCTCGGTCCCTGCTCCTGCCAACCTAGCACTTCGAAAGCACGCCAAAAAGTTAAAGTAGATAAATAGGTACCACTCCAGTGGAAAGGTAAACGGCGTTTCCATGCGCTGCTCTGGTTTTGGTGTTCTGTTGCACCAGAATCGGCTTAGTCATGCTGGCCACATGACCTGGAAAAACTGTCTGCGTACAAATGCCAGCTCCCTCGGCCTGTAAAGCGAGATGAGCGCCGCAACCCCAGAGTTGTTTGAGACTGGACTTAACTGTCAGAGGTCCTTTACCTTTTTATGTGCTTTAAATGTGCCTAGTATGGGGGAGGATTAAATTTAAAGAAACAGCTTAAAGTCAAATGGTGAGTTATGAAATAGGTGCTGGTGTTCAAACTGAAAATTTAGAATGTATGCACCAGATTTCATTCCAATATGTGCTCGTGCACTGGTAGAGGCAATCCAGTGCTCCTGCCATTGCAGTTGCACCATGCTGCCCTCTCCAATACACCTCCCCTCTCTTTGCCAGGAAGTGACATCAACCCACTTGCTGAGAAACTAGTATGGCGGCTGTGCCTTACCTGGTGGGCTGCTTCAGCTGTCAACTTTCAACCAATTAAGGAAGAAGCTTACAAACTGATCCTAAAAGGCCAAGTTAAATGGAAAGACTATTTTATTCAAGCGGTGAAGTTAGGTGTGTTTTAGAACCTTTGAACACACATGCAGAGACTGAGGAAGATTCCAAGTCCAGGCAAAGCAAGTGATGTCATGAAATCTGAGTTTCCCCACAATAAGTAGAAACAGAATTTTAATGGTTCAAGAAATCCCTCAGGCTGTCTGATCATCTTTGCTCTCCTTTTGATCTGCTGATTGGGAGAGCTCTAAAACTATAAAGGAAGAGTCCAAAAGCCCTTCACAAACTCAACTTTCCACTCTCTTTTTCTCCACTCTTCCCATGAATATCATTCATTTGATCTTCATCTCCTTCATCTTCTGCTGCAGAATGTGGACCTTGCCTGGATTTAAAATATTTAGATAAAAGTTGCTTACAGATGGTGGGAAATTTAATGTGCAGCTGTTTTAATGCAGTGAGTTTGGTTTGGTTTATTTAATTATTATTATTTTTTAAAAAAGAGAAAAGCAAGAAGCTGGATTTAAAAGTGATGGAAGTATTATAGCACAGCTCCCTTGTTGGGAAAAGGCAACTGTTAAACATTTATCAGTTGGCTGCCTTGTGGAGAAAAACCGTGCCGACAGCCCAAGCTGTCCTTAGGTGCAGCCTCATTTTTCCAGACTTCCAAAGCTGTGCACAGTGTGACAAGATGAGTGTTAAATGCAAAATATTGCATAATGCATACCGTGCCTTTTAATGTCTTTTTGCCATAAAGTGTAGCATTGCAGGGCATGGAGCGGAATGTTTCTTCCATTTTGTTCCATTCACCCCACATCTTAACACGAGATTCCAAATTCTGCAATCAAAGATTACATTCCTTTGCAACAGCTCTCATTAAAAATGACTTTTTAATGAGTCTTTCACATGCCCTTACCCTATTAAAAAAAAGAAGCAACACTGAATTTCTAGTACCCCACAGTGCGCAATATCTTTTTTTTAAAATTTACTACATTTACACTGTTATATTGACACAAGAGAGGATGCAAACTAACATACTGTGATAGAGAACGATCACTTATTGGATTAGAGAAGTGTCTGCTCATTAGCACTTAAGAGCTGATTGGAGTAAAACACAGCTGCTGACAAGCATCTCTGAGAGGTGTGGGTTACTGCAGGAGAATGATCTTCTGTATGTTCAAAAGCTTCCACATTTTAGCACCCAATTAGGCTCAAAATTGTTTATCCATCTAGCCAAACATCCATCCATCCATCCATCCATCCATCCATTCATTCATTCATGACATTCATATCCCACCTTTCCTTCAAAGATCTCAAGATCCCCCTGTTTTGTTCTATTAACAATCCTGTGCTAGGTTTGTGGAATCATACATTTGTAGAGTTTGAAGGTACCCCGATGGTCATTTAGTCCAACTCCCTGAAATCCAGGAATTTCCACAAGTGGTCTCCCATCCAATGTGAAACCATACCGGACCCTGCTTAGCTTTGCTAAAGCCACAGATTGTTGGGTTTGGATGACATGGCTGTGGTTAAACCATAGCTGTCAACCTTTCCCTTTTTAAAAGGGAAATTCCCTTATTCCGAATAGGATTCCTCGCAAGAAAAGGGAAAAGATGACAGCTATGGGTTAAAATGGAAGAGGAGGAGGAGGAAAGCGAAATGCGGAAGCCGGGTAAAGGCTAGGCTTCATATTGTAATGCTAAACCATGGCTTAGCATTATCGCTAAACTAGCCTAATATGCCTCTGTGCTTTCTCTTCTTTGTGCAGTATGATAATGAAAATGTTCCGAGCAGGTGAATACTGAAGAGCAAGTGATATCTTATTCTGTGATGCACATGCCTTGCAAAATCATTTTGTGGTGTGTTCCTGCACAAAAATTGGGTTCAGGGTTTGGTGGAAATGAACCACCAAACTGCTCCTTAATAAGCAAGGAGTTAAGTTATAGCAGTCTCCACAGGAGGAAGCTCATGTGTGCTTCCAGTTGCTTCTGAATGTCATTTTGGAACATTAGGAATACAGTGGTACCTCTGGTTAAGAACTTAATTCGTTCTGGAGGTCCATTCTTAACCTGAAACTGTTCTTAACCCGAGACACCACTTTAGCTAATGGGGCCTCCCACTGTCGCTGCACTGCCGCCGCACAATTTCTGTTCTCATCCTGAAGCAAAATTCTTAACCTAAGGTACTATTTCTGGGTTAGCAGAGTCTGTAACCTGAAGCGTCTGTAACCCGAGGTACCACTGTACACCCCATGAGCCTGGATTATGATACCAGGAATGAAAAGTATTGTTTTTCCTTTGGATAAACAGCATTGGACGGAACAATCCAAGCACCCTTTGAACTAGACTGGAATCGGGAGATTGGGCTGAGGTGTCCACCCCTGCCAGGCTCTGTCGGTCTCCCCCTAGCTGCTGGCTGCAGAGTGATTCCAGTGTCACTCTACTGGCACATCCCCTTCTGCCCATGGAATGCAGGTAATTCTGGAGACATGGCCCTCTGGCATCACCTGAGGCATCTGACTGAGTTTGGTCCTGATCGGTGCACCAGATCTGGCCTGGTACAGCGACCTGCCTATCCTCTCACCTCCTGGCCTGGCTGCCATGAGTGGCATGGCCACAGAGGTGGTACTCATAAAGCCCTGCCTTTCCTGGGGTGGTTGTGGTGGAAAGCCTAGGATTGCTCATAGTGTTATCACCTAGTTCTTTGAGAAGAGCTGTGCCCATTTCACCTAGACTGGAGAACTTGAAAACAGAGGCGTTATCTGCACCTTTCTGTCTTCCAAATATGATATTAGTGGAGCAGAAGCAATGTCACATAAGGAATACAGTGATAGCACATTGCCTAAACGCTTGGGCCTTGCACGCCTGTAGAAATTTGTAAGCCATTTGAGATGAGAAGCTGTATCAATTGGCCCTAAATCACTACCTGATGACAGCTTTGCAAGAACTCTGGTTTGCCTCAACTCCCGTTGCAGTGACTGTATTTTGACTTGATACTTAAGATTGAACATGGATTCCTTTGTCAGTTTTCCTTTTCCATTGCAAAAAAAGGAAACAGAAGGCAACATTTCTTTGAACTGGAGTGGACTGA